AAATTCTTATATAAAAACAAATTGTTTAACTTATACTTTTTATTTTTGCAGAAGTTTTGAGAAGCTATTTTATTTAACTTTTTCAAAATTTGAATGGATTAATTATTTTTGACTTATGAAATAATTTTTATTTATTATTTATATTTTTTATAAAGATTTTTCTAAAAATTTATAAAACAAAAATTAAATCTATAAAAACTTGTAAAATGCTGATTGAATTTGGAAAGGAGGTTCTTGTCCTTCTCTCCATTATTTTTTTATTAGGTTGATCGCCAATATATAATGAATGAGCAGTCTTCTGGGAAAAGTATATTTCGCACACAAAAGAAAATTCTTACTTAGCGGTTGATACATACAAAAATTATATAAGTTATACTTAATTTTTATAAAAAAATATTATTATATAATTTTTACTTTGTCCATCTCATTTTCTTTGTCATTTAAGACACAGAAATAAAAAATCTAATCATTATTTTAGATTTTATAAATTTTTTTTTTTAAATTTTCTATCCTCTCCATCGTTGGTCTTTGGGTGGAAAAATTCAATTAGATAAAATAAAACCAATAATTCGTAAAAAATAAAAATTATATCTTAACAAAATAATTTATAAAGATTATATTTAAATTTTGTAACTTGTATATTGATCAAATATTTAATTTAAAAAAAACTAAGACTTTGCTCAAAATTATAGAAGTGTTTGAAAATATTCATAAATAAATTAACTTAAAACTAAAAAGTTAGTTGAAAATTTACTTAATCAAATAAAAAGTGTTTTTTTTATTAAATTAGCAATTATGTTAGCTAATAAATATAAAATGAGAAAAATATGGAATGTATCTTAATAAAAAATTATAAGGTTTAAAATCAAATTTTTACAACTTTTGTAGAGATTAAATACTTAATTAAACTCAAATAAAAATTACACATAAAATAATTAGAGCCGATGAAATGGACCAACTTGGCTGGATCAATTAGAATTTGCATAATAAAATGTAGAGTTTGAATTTCAAAATTTACATTTAAATTAAATTTAGATTTTTTAGTGAAATCTGATCAAAGTCGGTATAAGTTAAGGTGTCATTTAAGAAATCTTCTCAATAAATTTGAAAAAATAATTGTTTAAAAATAAATAAATTTTCTGTTATAAGTTAAAACAACTTATTTATTTTGTAAAAGTTTTGAAAATATATCTTATTTAACTTTTCTAAAATTTGAAGGGATAAATTGTTTCTAATTTATAGAAATTTTATTTATTATTTATATTATTTTTTATTTTTTATAAAAACTTCTCAAAAAGTTTACTCGAACAGAATTTAAATTTATAAAAACTTGCAAAATACTCAAAAAATATCTAAGCTTTGTTAACTTTAAATAGCACATATCTAAATTAAATTCTAAATTTTTTTACCCTCAATGCACTAAACCTCACTACTTGCTAGTTGAATTGGTTAAATAATTTTGTCAGCTTTAAAAATAATTAATCTTCTTGTCTAAAACCAACTCTTCCTTTTTTAAGACAATAAATAAGTCGAATTAAGTTAACTTTGACCTAAATATTAGTTTGATTTAAATTAAATTAAAAATTTCAACTTAAATATGGCTTAATTTAAGTTGATAAATTATTTCATCCAACGTTAAAAATTAACTCTATACATCTCAAATTTAAATAGAATAATTTATATAAAAATCATCAATTCAATTTATATATTTATTATGAATAAATTAATATATTATTTCTTAACTCTCATTTTTATTTTATTTTAATTTTTTAAATTTTTTTTCATTTTATTCTCTTAGCTTACAAAAGTATTATAAATAATTTTTTTTATAAAAAAATTATTGTTTATCTTCCTTCTTGTAAATTTTGGAGAAAACACAATATATTTCAGCAATTTTGTTTAATTATCTTATTTTTTTTATTTTCTTTTTCTTCTTCAATTTTTTCTCTTCTTACTCATTATCCACACTTTCACAGCTCATTTCTTTATATCTAAACTTTCAAAAAACACAACAAATTCTAGAGAATTATCTAGTTAAGTCTTGAAGTCGTAAGAAGAGACAGAGTAAAACAACGTTAACAACATCAAACAAAAATAAAGTACTAACATTTTTTGACAGGGACAAAGCTTTCAACCACTTTTTTTTTTTCCTTCAAAAGTTTCATTCTCATTTTCTATTCTTTCTTTTTATCCATTTACCCCCCCCCCCCCCCCCCCCCCCTTTTTACTCTTCTTCCGCACCTTTGTGACTTTTTTTTTTCTTTTCTATAAACTTCGACAAAAATATGGTGATGTTTTAATATTGTTACAAACACTTTTTTTTCCACACTTTAATTACTATGTCCTTAAAATTTTAATTTTGAAAAAGATTAAGTAAAAGATAATTGAAGGGTGTGATTTAACAAAAGAGTATTGGAATTCTAATATAAGATATTATTTTTATTTCAAAGAGTCATATCCTTTCTAGATAAAGGTTTTCATTTTGAGGAAAATAGAAGATAAAAAATATTTAAAATGCAAATGATAACTCAAATATTATAACCTTACAAGGTACTAGATATTCAATCTTTTAGAATATTTTCTTCTCATTTGAATGTTAAAAATTTATGCAATAACAAAAAAAGGAGAGAGAAAAAATAAAAGAGAAAAAAATAATGTTAGTCCAAAAATTCATTGAAATTACTGTGTTTTCATAAGAGTTAACAAGGAGAATAAATATATTGATCAAAACATATCAAAGCTTTTTATCATATACTCACCTACAATAAATAACCCTAAAATAAATAAAGTCCACAAGTGTATATTTTTTTTTTCCTTTTTCTTTATATATAATATTGATGTTAAATTTTTATTAGGCTTAACAAATTTAAAACTAATTACTACGGCTAATTTGTGATTGTTGTTGGACAAATAAAATTTTGTATGTGATTTACATGACTTCCTTCTAAATAGTATGCAATAAAGTTTTACATTATTATGTAAACTCTTCACGTTGATTTAAGTTCAATTTAAATAAATTTATACATGAATAGATACTTATAGAGACAAAATAAAAGATAAAATACACTAACTTCTTTTATATAATAAAATTAATTTATGTAACTTTTTTTTTTTAAAATTATCATTTAACTTCTATTAATGTTAAGTGCATTACTTGATTTTAATTTTATAAAAAAATAATTTTGTTTATTTCTTATTCAACAGGTAATTGTTAAGACATTTAAAAAAACTAAACTTAAATAGAAGTAAGAATTTTGCACCCAAAATAAGAGTAAGAATTGTTAGAAAACAAAAACTGACGGCCTATTTGATAAATTTTTTAAACACGAATATATCTTTAAGCTATGTTTGAGAAGGAATGTTTGGAGAGAAAAAGAGGGGAAGGTATATTTTTTATTTTTTAATTAAAAAAATTATATATTGTTTTGATACAAATATATTATTAATATATTAATTTTATGTTAATATATCAATTTATATATTTTATTTTAAAATATTAATTTTAAATATAATTATATAAAATTTATCCTCTCTTTTTTTTCTTCCAAAAATTCATTCCCAAATAATGTCTTAAGCTTTAAGTTAGTTATAGTATTTTTTAAAAAAAATCATGATAACAATAATATATGAAAGGTGATAGGGGGGAAATCCAAAAAAATTAGTTGCAAATGCAAGATGATAAAGAGCAACTTAAACACACAATTAGGAGACTAAACAAGGGGTGAATTTAACTTGTTTATTTGATAAATGCCTTATTTTAAGATTTGAAGTATTTGAGAAAAGTAAGTTTATAGAGTTAACAAAGTTGTTTGATAAATTAAAGATAAAGAAAGTTTGTAATTTTTAAAACTTAACCTATTAAACAATGATGATGGATTTTGGGAAGAATTAAATTTATGGCAGAATAATATCCTTTGGGCTATAGATACAATTTATTGAGTTGGAGAATCTTGGTCCAATATTAGACGAGGGGATTGCTATTTTTGCATCACTTGTTTTTGTTATTGGTTGATTGTGAGTTTTGAAATTTATATTTTAATAATACTTTCTAAAAATTAAATTCTAGAAATAATTTGTAAATGATTTTAAATTTATTTTCAACAAGTATTAAATACACTTTGAGAAATTAAATGCTAAAAGTAACAGTAAAATGAATAGAAAAAAGGATTGTGTAAAAGATAATTTCCTCTGGATGAACATGTGTGCTAGCTTCCATATTGCAATGCTGGCTGAGAGTTGACAAGTTACTGAGATACAGTTGAAAGCTACCTTGCTTTTTTTGTTAAAACTGAAATGAAACTGATCACCATAAGTGGGCCGTTATGAGCCCACTTCTATATTCAGTCCACGAATTGGTCTTGTGCATTGGTTTCATTGAATGACTAAAAATTGGACCCATAAAAAAGTTAGCCCACTTCTATGGTGCTGCTGATCTCGCACCCTGTTACCACTTCTATTTCTGGATGCAATTTTTTTATTAGTTATTAAATTAAAATTTAAAATATCCTTAACTATTTGATATCTTTTTTTAATAGGTTCAAGGTTTTATTTTCTTTCCCCAAGGATATGACTCTAAATTATATTGCTACTAATGGACACTATATTCGATCATGTTTTGTGCTGTTTTTAGGCAGTGCAAACTGTTCAATGATTGTTATTTGCAATACAAAATAGACAAAATCTTCTTCACTTATAGGTTCAAAGCATTTAGCTGTTCATCTTTGGCTTACACTGTCAATACTGAGTAGTGTATATGAACATAAAATCGCAACTACAACACTCAATATTCTTTGGACAGTAACTAGTACAAGTTAATTTGAATATGCAATTCAGAGGAGCAAATAGCCTATCTTTTTTATATTTCCATTATTGTTAAAGCACCATTTTATATTTTCTATTTCCTTTCTGACTAATCCCAAGAGTATAGAAAGTTTGGCATTCAAAGAAACTAGTTCAGTATTTGAATAATCCACAGGAAAAGGATCTCATGCAGTTTATAACTTCAAACAAGTATCACTTCTCATTCATTTTTCAGATGTATATTCATAATAAAAATGAGACAATTTTCAAGGGTTGAGATTTTGTGCAGTTGTTAAGACAACTGAAATCCCAACTGTTTTATTTATTTGCCAAAATGGCAGAACCTAGTATTAGATAACATTACACCACCAACATAGTGTTTTAGCAATCCCAAGGATAAAAGACAAAGCAGTATGCTTACAAATCAATGGATACCACTAGTGGTGAGTCACCTTTGTCAAGAACAAATCTCTTAGAAATTTTCTTTGACGGGGTCACAATTTGCACATTGTATGTTCCATGAAAGCCTCTTAAGTTGTATTGACCTTGCTCATCAACATGGCCACGGCTGTGAGACAGCCACTCTTGTTTTAGAGCAAGGAACCTTTTTCCAGCTTCATTGATCTCACCTTCTGCATTGACCAAGTGTGCATTGTCTCTGCTCATAAATAGCTCCCAAAATCCCCACAGCACCATGCCTTCTACTGCAGGGTGTGCCATAGCTTCGCGTAGCATAACTTCTAGATCATCTGCTCTAACATATTCATTGGTGGAAGACACATCAAGCTCAGTGAACCATATAGGTAGACCAAGAATACCCAACTTATCAAGGGAGGAACAAACAATAGGCCCAACTGGACTATCTATGTGGCCTTGAATTCCAATTCCCCCAACTGGGGCACCTTGCTCTTGCAAATTAAGAATGTGATCAATGTACTTTTCTGGACATGATCGTGTGTCACATCCATCCTCAACATGATAGTCATTCACAAACAATGTAGCAGAAGGGTCTAGTTGGTGTGCAGTCTTGAACATGTTTGCCCTTATATCCTTGCCTAGTCTGTCTTGGTAAAATGAACCATGCAGCATTTCATTGTTAACATCATAATGACTGAATTTGCCCTTGTAGCGAGTTAAAAGGCCGTTTAAGCGGTTCTGAACAGCTGTCATCAAATCATTTTTGTTCAGTGATTTTATCCATTGCTGAACTGTTCCATCCACTTCCCAGAAGATACAATGGCCGCGAGTTTGTATGTTGTGCTTCTCACATAAGCTTAACAGGTCATCAGCATCCTTGTAATTGAAATTTCCTTGTTGTGGCTCAGTCCAATACCACTTCAACTCGTTTCCAAACACAGCCCAGTTAAAATGCTTCCCAATAAAGTCAACAAAGTCTTCATTGTCAATATTTGTTCTACTAATACATGAACCAATTGGGAAATCATTCTGTGTTTGTCTAACTTGCACAGAGGTGTTAAGGTAGCTGCTAGAGTCCAGCCCAGAGAATTTCAGGATAACATCACGTTTACGGATCTGCAGTGAAGCATGTTGATATAATATTAACACAAGGATAATGCAAATCGTCACATATCCTATCAATGAAGAATGGTTCGTGTAATATGAAGATAAGGCACTACAATTTTTAATATACTTTGCTTCATGTCACATTTATTTCCTGCCATGGAAAATTATATTTTGTTCATAAGATTATGCTTTTTAATAATCTTATGCATATTTTAGAGATAGAGTCATTCATGACCTATGTGAGTTGGAAGGTCATATAGGACATATAAAACGGAAGGAGGTAGACATGTCTCAGTATCATAACACCAATCCTTTGGACAGGTTAATGGTAAAATTTTTAATCTATATTCAGGTACCATGCCTATGAATCAAATTCTAGAGGACATTATCTGCATATCATTTTTTCTTCTAGATTTTATTTCTCTCTTTTTCATCTTTCATATGTTTCTAAAGGTATCCAGTAAAACTAATAATATAAGATATAGAAGAAAGCTAGATGTCACCTTATCTGTCTGCATCTTTAAATATCTAAATCTTGCATGTCTATCGACAGGAAAAATTTGAAGTCCAGCAACCATCAAGTCTACACCAGAAGCAGGGCCTTGGACATAAACCATAACCTTTGATGGCTGCTTTTCAATTCTAAAGGACCCACCAATTTCATGCCACCTGTCATCAGAAACCTCAGTTTGTCCTCCATTGACCCATTGGTTATCAACACCAAGGGCAACATTCACATTCTGTGGCCCATTTGATCCTGAACCAATCCGGACCCAAGCAGATACTTGATAAGTCACAAAGAGCTTCAATTTATCTGTGATAACCTGAGCAGGGCCCATCCATGTTTGTGTTCTATTAGTTACAAGGATATAGCGCCCGCTTAGAAGTTCATGAGGACCAACAGAATCTCTTGCCATTGGTGGAATAATATGTGGTGAACCAGTTTTAACGGTTAAAGTGCAATTACCAAGAGGGAACCATCCTTTGGTGTCATCAGCCAGATTGCTGTTCTCAATTATATTAACCCCAAAAGCAACATCCTGCAAAACAAGACCTTGTTAGGGGATTGAAACATACCGATTTGGCACTACAGCCAAAGTATATTAAGGCAACAGCTAAACCTCTTAAACAATGTCCAGGTAAAACATTTTTTAGGAAACACCAGGATTAATGTTATATTAGTAATTTACGAAAACATGTTTCAAAACTCGAACCTTTACATCCGGTGGGGTTGAAGGAGGTGTTTTAGCTGCATGCTTTAAGACCAAACTGTTGAGAAGAATGTCAGTGCCTGGAGGAGGCCCCTCTAAATAAATGACCACTTTTGATGGAGAACCATTTAGAAGAAATTTTCCCTGCATTGTAACCCAATCTTTATCTGTTGCCTGCACACTTCAGAACATACAAGCTTTGTTCAGCAATTGGAAGAAATGTTAAAAGGAGCTTTCTAATACCACTATATCACTAAACCATACTATAGCAAGTTTCTTTTTATTTTGTTTGTCAAGATTCAAGAATGGTAAACAGGAAAGACATAATCCATAGACAAAACAATTCTCTATATGAAATACAATGATAGGAAAATAGAAGAGACTAACTTTGCAACGCCTATATACTGCTCTCGAAGATCTGGTGTTTGGACCCACAAAGTAGCCCTTACATCAGAAGTAGTGACATTGTTTCCATATATTCTAACTAAAGCAGTGACCTCATAGGCAAGCTTGCGCTGCACACGTCCTGTGATCTCCTGCTGAATTCCATTCCAGTTCTGCGTGCGTTCGGTTGCAGATGCAAAGAATTTTCCAGTCTTAGGAACAATTTTCCCATCACCCATGGAATCATGCAACACAACCTTGCAGCCTCTTCCAGACCAGTTATTCAGGCCATCATCAAATTGGGGGTTTATTATGATGTTGTCATCTCCAGTTGAAACACATTCTGTGCTTGTGGTCTATTGAAAGAAGAGGAAAAAGGCACTCTAGTTAGTATGTTCAAAACATACAGATTTCACAAGACAACTAAACAGGAAAACCAAAACAGATTTATTGCAACTTAAATCTAATCATAGAAGAAGTAATAACTGATAACCAGTGCACAAGCATGAGCTTGATATTTATCAAACAATATTAGACTTCACCTATATGAAGAATTTCACTAAAAGTTAACATTATTATTTCATAATATACATTGTTATTTGGACTGGAACAATTGATCTTTACTGATCGTATCAAAAGGTCGACTCCAGGAGCAGGTCCTTCCAAATAAAATACAGCCCGATCAGGCATAGTTGACAACGAGAATGTTCCTTCCAACTTTTCCCAACTACCCTTTATAACTGAAGTTCTGTAGAAAATAATGGTAAGCATGTAAGGGCATTTTCCTCATATTCTTTAAAACAAGGAAGAAGATACAATGAAATTAATTATAAGATTCTATACCTTCCAATGAACAAGTAACTAGTATCTGAATCATGATATTCTAGTTTCAGAGTAGCTAGAACATCACTAGATCCCTGAGAAAGCCCGGACACTCCCACACAAGCTGAAACCGTGTAAGTGGAACCAATGGAAATTCTGTTTGTGATATCTTGCTCAAGACCTTGCCAGCATTCCTTTCGGTCGGTTATAACAGCATAATTTCCATCCAAGTCCAATGAAACTCCTCCTTGAGTACCTTTTTCTGCTGAAATTACATAGCCATTGCAGCAATTGAGATGCCAAGAGTTCAGCCCACTAGAGAAGTCATGATTAAGTAAAATATTAGCAGCTTTGATCCCACTTAGACCAGAGATGTTTCCTGCCATTATCTGTCAAAGAAGACAATATCAGAGAACAAATGGAGCTAGATGCCAAGAAGGAACTCTGAGCCCATTGATACAGCTTGTGATATGTTTCGAATGTGTTTAACATATTGGGAAGAACTCTCCCGTTTGTGATCTTCCATAAGGCGGAGTCAAGGAGTTCGACAGTTCTACTGTTTAGTGCATTACAAGTTTTATTTGCTGGCTAAATTTTTTTACTGTAAGAATCAATCTAATCTCATTTACTATTATGCTTCTTCTACCATCTTCATTGGCAGTAGCATTGGTTCCTGTTACTTTCGAAACATCTAATAAATCATACTTGGTATAATCTATGCACATTGTCCTTTGTTAAATATAACATAAGAAAACTCAACAAATCTAAGTAGCAGTAACCATAGTCATTTGTTAAATATAACATAAAAAAACTCAACAAATCTAAGTAGCAGTAACCATAGATACACTTCAGTGTGAAAGCTAAAATCTGCAGTGAAGCTTGAAAATGGTATATGAGAGGCTTGATCTCAGACTCCATCCATTATTAGGCTACCAAATTATGATGGTTAATGGGGGCCTTTATTCATAAAAGGAATGGGCTAAACAAAGGGTGGTAAAGCAAAATGCCAAAAGCATGACCAATTCATCATTAAATAAATATGACTCACTGAGATAACACAGTATGTAAAAGACATTTAAAAGAGAAAGAAATACCCATCTAGTACCTGAGACTGAGACTGGTTGTGCTTCCAGTGAGAGAGAGACTTAGAAACTCTGGTTGTGAAGCAGCAGGCATAAAACCTCTTCATTATATACTCGCTCAGCAAATTTGTGAGTGAAGCCTACGTATAACACTGCGGCCAACCAGAAAATTTCCTTCCCATTCATTTGGATATATTGTTATTATCCAAACGTTGGGATCAAATGAATTTTATAACTTTAATTACCCTTTCAAGTTTCAAATAAACCCAATACCTGAAAAACTAAAAATAAAATTAACTTTCTTGAATTTCCTTTAATTTTACCTTCTCCTGCCACTGTGCTTTTTGCTTTGTCTTGCAGACTAGGAATGCTTGAATTGGAATGAAAGCCTAAGTAGGGATCGAAGGTTAAGGATGCTTTGGTTTATTGGTTCCTTAATTTTTTTTTTAACATTAAATATCTGATCCACTTGGATGAGACTTAGATTGCAAGATTTTGCAGGGTTAGGTGGAGAAGGCTTTTCATCCCTACGCATGACACAACGGCATTTGGCATATAAACTAGACATCCAATTTCCTACGTATATATAAACATACGAAGTGGAATTGAACTTCACACGCTAATACACCACAACACTGCAAGAAAAATCACTGCCTCTATAACCATATCTCTAAAGCGCCTTGCAATATTCAAATGAAAAGGAAGATCCAAATTCATATGTTTTGTTGTCCTTGTATCTATAACTTCGTGTGACGATGCAATTCTAGCAAAATAATCCAATGGAGATCAAGCAAATGTCAATTCTGAAATTTTATTAAGAACCTAACCAAATATCATCTTGGAGATTAGAAATTTCCCGAATTGTAATTTTAATATAATAATACAATACATTATCGTATATAAATAATTGTTAAAATTTACTCTCTTAAATTTTTTTAGGAATAATTATAATAACACTTTTTTCTCTGAATTCGGTATAATTATAATGAACATTTCATTCTGCAGCACATGATGATACTGCAAGATTGGGAAATAACCCATGCTGCGTTGTTCTTACAGGTAAACCACTCTTAAAATGGGTTCTAAATTTAAAGTGGCTCGTATTAAGCAGAAGATGATAAATAAACAAATAAATAAGATTGTAAATCTGTCATAAATAGTAATTGGAGCGAATCAGCAAACCCAAGTGGCTTTTACCTAAATCAAAGTCAACTACTTGTTTGAGTCTCCGGTTCGGTTTGGTCCAATTCAACACAAAGACCAACGTTTGGTTCGATTACATGGTGGTGCGGTTTTGACAGACACATCATCGTACTGTGACTATGGAATGGTATTTGGTAAAATGGGTGGAAAACGCCGCGTTTCATGGTTTCAGGGGATTCTGATTTGGGAGGACCAGTTCAGGAGAAGGAATGTGGGATCTAATGGGCTATTTGGCCCAAATCTTGATAAGAAAATGTATTTATTATTTATACTGCCTTCTTAATTACTGAGTACGAAAATTTTACGAATTAAAAAATAAACAATCAAGATAAGCATTTATGTAAACAGAAGAAAAATAAAATATTATCAAATACTTACACGTTTAAGAATTATGCAAGACAAATTCACAAAAGGGAATTTTTGGTTTTAAAAATAAAATTATGAAAAATATTATTAGTTTTAGAAATTAGAATCTAAAATTCCGAAAAGTGGTGTTAAAAGAAATGGCCACAAGAAACTTTTTGGGTGATAAATATAATTGTATAGCAGTGAATATTTACCTTTCCAAATCCACTAGCACTTTTTTCGGAGCTCACTTAAATTAAAATGTCATAAACTAATGTTAGATCTACAGTAATTTAGGAGATGTGACTAAACCCTAAACCCTAAAGGATAGGGATTGAGAGTACAATGAGATAAAATAAGAAAAATAAAATATTAAAAATGATGGTGCAGGTTGAGAATAATGACAGGTGATGTTACGAGATAGGAAAGGTAAAAAATTATATTTCGTAGAAAATTTTCTCTAATTGATGAGTTTAAACACAAAATTTCCTTTCATCCCAAACTTAAGTGCAAGAAACAGACATTGAGCTTTTTTACGCAGGATGTCTGATGGATGATGCCAAGATTCACGTAAAAGTTAACCTTAAATTGAGTAAAACAAACTTTTTAATCATGTTGAGTCTTACCCTATTAGTGTAAAAATAAAAACAAAAAATATAAAACAATTACTAATAACTATTTTAGTTTTTAAAAATTTCAAAAGTATTATGTTAGTCCTTCATTTTCATCTCTCTCAATCATTTTAGTCTCTAAATGCATACATTATCAATAAAACAATAATAAAATGTTGACATATATCAAGTGACAAGTGTGAAGCTAACTTGACAAAAATGACCCATAAATCCATACTTTATTAACAAACACATTAATAAAATGTTGACATATGTTAAGTGACAAGTGTAAAACTAACTTAGCAAAAATTGTAAAATAAAATAAAATCAGATTTCTAACTTTCATTTTGAAAATGATTCTATTGTGAGAAATTTAAAATCTGACGTTGCAAAGCTTAAAACTTTCCACATTTTTTTACATGGGTTCATCTTCTTTTTTCAGCTTAAAACTTCTCTGCAAATTATAACAATATTTCACAAAAATTCTAAAATTTTTTAGGTCTTTCTATCTTAATCTAACCTTACATTGATTAACTAAATCTTTATTTTTAATTCTTAAAATTTTAAAAATATTATATTAGTGCCTTACTTTTATCTCTATAAATTATTTTAGTCCCTAAATTCATACATCATCAACAACAATAATAAGGCATTATCATATCAAGGTAACTTACAAATATAAAACTAACTTGATAAAAATAGTAAAAGAAACTAGATTTCTACGTTCACGTTGAAAACACTGTCGTTATGAGAAATTTAAAGTTCCACAATGCAAAGCTTAAAACTTTCCACATTTTATTATATTATATGATTTCCTTTCCCTTAACCAATTTTTAGTTTAGAATTTCTCTTCAAATTCGGCTAAAATTCCATAATTTTAGCTCTTTCTATGTTAACCCATTTGCATTTGTCAATAGTCTGAAGAGTGTATTGTCTTTGAACTTTTTTGGTATGAGACTCTTTGGCAAGCAAAAGGATAGTGATGATAATAAGCTTGGTGGTAATGTTAATGTTTTGCATAACATGACTTTGAGCTTTTTTATTTTTTTATTATTAATTTAAAACAAATTACCAAAAATATAAATATTTCAAAACAAACTCTCAGTTTAATTTTTTTTGCCACTGTGTCATAAGTCTCACCAACGTTGGCAAAAATTTAATTTTATTTAAAAAATAAATTTTATCACTAAAAATGTGAATGTAAAATTTTAATTTGAAGTTCTATATTTTTAACGATAAAATTTAAAAAGAAAATTAAAGTCACCAACTATATTGGCGAGACTTATGACATATAGCAACAAAAATCCAAACCGGAAATGTTTTAAAATATTTATATTTTAGTAATTTGTTTTTAAATTAGTAATATAAAAAAATTATATATATAAAAAAAAGTCTATGACTTTGTTGCTTCAAGTTTGGTTGCATTATTTGTGTTTAGTAGCTCTGATTTTTCTTGCTTGCAAGATCTTAGGTTGAGAGATAACTACGTTATAATATTATTATAGCATTAAATATTATATTTAATTAATACAAGATATAATAAACTTAAAATAGAAGTAAATACTATATTGATTCAATTAATATATACATCATAAATGTATGGATATTTTATGAGTAATTGATGCATAACATTAATGTAACCTTAAATATTATAATTAATAGTTATAATACAGAATAAATTTAAACAATATAAATATTATATTCAATAAATCAACGTATTTGTTAAATTTAATATGTGTAAAAGAAGTATGAATTTTAATAAAAAAATATTCTAAAACTATTCAACTTATATTTATTTTTATATTGTTAATAGTTTAATATAAAAAATAATTTTCACCAGTGTCACTATTAAATTAGAATTATACATTACTTAAAATCATTTGTGTTTAATTTTATAAAAAAATCAACATCAATTCTTATAAAAAATTATATTTTGAAATCAAAATTATATATTACTATCGCAACCAGACAGTCACAACAGTACGGCAAAAAATTTGTTTAAGAAAAACACTTTCAAGAATAAAAATATTTTTCTAAAAATTAGAGGAGTCGCTACCAAAGTTTATTTTAAGAAAATCTTGAAATTTTTTTTAAAATAATATGATCTTTGAAACAAAAAATGAGTTCAAGAGTCATTTACGTGTAAGAAAGGTATTAGCACCCTACAACGTCCGTTTAAAAAAATAGTTACTTTAAATTAATTGTGCAAATTTATTTTAATTTTAAAAAATATTTATTTAATCCCTAAACAACAATTATTATTATTATTTTTTATTTTAAAAGAAAATAAATTATTTATTAAAATGTTAATGGATACTTTAAAAAATTATTTTAAAAATTATTTTGACTTGACAAGTTCGATTCCCGCTCCACGTATCTTTGGGTGCAATGGAGAACTCAAAATTACGTAGTTCTATCTAAAAATTATGAAGTTAGTTGATCATAATTAAGTTTAATAAAGAAAATTTGTTTTGAGATAAAAATTATTTTTATAAATTTATAATATTTAAAGTACAAGATAACATGATTATATATATACTCTGCAAAAAATAATACAGAAGATGAAAGAAAATTACACAATTATATTACAAATAGTTAAAAATATTTTATTTGTAAACGAAGTATTTGAATTTGAATTTGAATTATGATTAATGTTGAAAGAGAATTTAAGATAGTGTAAGTTATACATAAATTTCTTATAATTTATTAGACCAACAAAGGTAATGTAAATTACACATCGATGTTGCATAATAAAAACGAAGAAATAAAATTATGTAATTAATTATTATTTATTAAAGCTAGAAATGTAACTTAAGAAAATTTAAAACATGAAATTAATTTTATTTGATGAAAAGAATAAATATATTTAAAGTGATTAAAGAAAATAGTTACTTAATAAAGATTATAACTCCATTTAATAAATTTATATTGCGTAAGACTTAAGGTAAAGTTAGTAAACAAAAAGTTTAACAATTTAAGGTGTATCTAGATAGAGATGCTATACAATAACACTATAAATCTCCACATTAACTAAATGAAAATATTATAGATGATGAATCTTAATGACATAATAATAATAATAATAATAATAATAATAATAAATCAGTTAATTTTAGAAATTAGATAGAATTGTTTTAATATATTGAAGATATACAAAACTCAAGATACGTTGGTACACATGAGTTTCGATAATTTATAACACATAAAAGTAAAGATGCTACATATTAACGTTATAAATCATTACACTTGGTAGACTAAAATGATTTTTATTTTATTTTATTTAATGAATTAGTAAATTATTTATTTATTATATAATTTTGAAATGAAGTTAATTTGTCAACCATGAAACAAAAATAAAATAAGATATGAATCTAAATTAAAGTATACTCCCTTTGGTTCTTTTTATAAGAAACAAAAGACTAAATTACTGAGAAAAAAAATAATTCTGTTATATTTTTCATAAATATAAATTTTATTCCAAAAATACCTATGATATTAAACAGTGTAGTTAATAATTTGTATATTTAATGATACTAATAAAAGAAAGATATAAAAAAAATTTAACAATTAATGTATCTTGAATCTATCATTTGTTTCTTATAATAAAGATAAAAAAAATGCTCTATTTTATTTCTTATAAAAAGTAGCGGAGGAAGTATTAATTTTTACAATAACAAAATAAATAAATAAATAAATATATAATTAAAATTAATAATGATATTAATATTTAAATAATAATAATAATATATTTGAAGATAAATGTTTTATTTAATTTTTTTGGAAAAAAGAAGAATTTTTTTGTTTTATTATTATCACTATTCTAGTATTACTATTTCTTAAATTTA